TCCTGCAACAAATCCACATAATGTACGGCCCTTTGGAGGCACAGCAGTTTATAGTCGTCTTGATTATTATCCAGGATACCCATATTGTGATAACAGAAATGGCGTAGAAATAACAGTTTTAAGGTTCATGGTCATTCCTCATGTAACAATTGTAGGAATTTATAGATCACATGCAGGATCARTACAAGACATGTGCAGAACACTTAAGGATATTCTAGAATCRTTACCAACTGAATTTAATGTATTTATTGGAGACTTTAATGCCAACTGGTTTAATGATTCAAAGTGTAAACCACTGTATAATTTCTTTATCAGAGACAATGCTTATAGGCAATTAGTTACATGTAGTACTACAGATAGCAATACCTGTATTGATAATATTTATACCAACYTACCTGAAACACAATCGAGCTTTCAAGTTTTAGAAACCTATTTCTCAGATCATAAAGCCATTTGTCTTTCGATAAACTGTTTCAATACAAATTAATTTGATAACATTCATAAAAATGAAACATTAAAGATCTTATGTATTTTATTGACTATCACATTGATATACTATTTGCACAATGTTGTTACTTTCATCAGAAAATAACAAACTTAGATTAAATATTATAATGTTTCAATTTGGATTGTGTTAATATGATGATTGCTATTATTTGTCCCAGATATTGTTTGTCCCAGATTCTAACTCAAATCAAGCTAGAAATATATACCATGGCTAGGTAAGTATCTTGAAATAACATTAGTAAATGTATAATTCTTTTTTAGATACATTTTTTTTTTACTTTTTTTCTTTTTTTCAGCAAAAAAGTAACATCCAAGGAAAAAGATTCTGATGTCTACACTGAAAGTAAATAATAATTATATAGGAAGATATTTTCTTTTCCATATATATTTACAATATTAATGCCATTTCTTTGTTTCTTTTTCAATTGCAGCTCTTGAAGGTTATGTTCATTTACTAAGTCCAATAAAGACTGCTGCAAATTCTGCTAAAACGAACTATTTTGACTGCAAGCTTCAAACTGGGCAAGAAGAATCCTTGCGATTGGTCTGTTATTCACCACAAAAACGAGAAAGTCTTCAACAGGCATATATAAATAAGTCTCCTGTCAAAATTGTTGGTACTAAGAAGAACAGCAAGAAACGATTCAACACAGATATTGACGAATATTCTGTATCAAAATATGCAAAAGTTACACCAGCAGAAAACATACCTTTTGAGTATAACCAAACAGTGGGAAACCGATTGAAAACTGTAAAAGAAACCCATCAGTGTGATATTTATGACATTGTTGATCTAAAAGTGAAAATCATCACCAAGTCTGAGAACAAACAAGCTGTACTGAAAAATGACCTGCCAATCTACAAAATAGACACTGTTGTGGCTGATGAAACTGAAGTTATAAAATTAGTCTTATGGGAAGAGCTTATAGATTCAGTTCATTCTGGATTATCATATCACTTTCAAAACCTGACTGTTAGAATATTTGACGATGAGAAGTATGTCAACTCTAATGAAATGACTACCGTTACACCAATGCACGATATCCAAGTCCACATGGAAAATCCAGAAATAAGGGACAATTTACTGACAGGACGTTGTGCAAGTGTTAAAATAACTAAGTCAAGCTCCTGCATAGTATGTAACAAAAGCCAAGAAGTTAACAAAGAGGAAGAATTTGTCACCTGCAAGAACTGTGGGATGACCACACTAGCAGATACTTTTCAAAAAACTAAACTTATTGGTCAAATTTTCATTTTGACACCTGATAACAAGATGCAAAAATACACCTGTTTCACAGATAGTATCCAAAGCTTTTTGACAATTAAAAGMTGTACAACACCATTAGCAGAACTTGACCCAGCAGACATAGAAAGAATGATTCTCAAAGCTGGCTCGTTACGCATGATAGCCTCAAACAGCACAAAAGTAATTTCACAATTCCTTCCAGATTAAGTACAGTAGGTAATTATATCATTTCATACCTACATTAATATGTTACTCTGTTGTTTTCAAATTTTATTACGTTGTCAAATTACTAAATTTGAAAATATTAAAAACTGTTATATTGTTCAAATTTTATTACGTTGTCAAATTACTAATGAAAATATTAAAAACTGTTATATTGTTCAAATTTTATTACGTTGTCAAATTACTAACTACATCTTATTACCTATCAACTTAGACCATAAGATTCTGTTTCACAGATTTATGGAAACACTCTATTGTTCATATTTTAAAAATGTATGCAGTATTTGTAAACATTTTATTCTTGTTTTTTACCTTATCTTTAAACGTTTATAATTTTGTAATTTTATAACATTCTTAGATGTTTGTAATTACATTGTTGTTGTTAATACATTAAATTTGACATCAGATAACACTTTCGGGTTTTTTTTTATCTATTTAACGGTTGACAAAATACAACACTTGATTCATTATAATACTACTGTTTACAAATAATAAGTCTACGATAACACACACACATTCAGGATTGCTGTTGGGGAAGGGTGCAGCGCAATCGGGAATAAAGGAACAGTGCAAATTTAAAAAAGAAAAAGAAAAAAGATACAAATTAAAGGGAAGTATTGAGGTATTGCATCAACCTCCGAATACAACTAGTGTTTTTAAAAATCAGAAAGACTGCTAGAGYAAGAAAACCCCATTTCAACTGCAGTGTTTTCACAAATAAATTGAGTCMGTCATATCAAAGCACTAGCCACATGCAGTCCTTGACTGCGTATTTTTGGAATTTGC